AGGAATTCCAAATCTTTTTTGATCTGAGATGTCTAGATAACTTTTGTTTTTCCATAATTGTATGAGGTTTCTACATAGTATTTAAGAATCAATTATATTGCAATTGATGTAATTAACTCTAATAATCCGTTAAAAGTCAGTAGGAGGGCTATTCAAGTCAATAGAAAAGAAGGAGTATATTATGAAGGTGTTATTAACCTATACAGAATTTTACTAGACATTTTCTTTTCTTACATAATAAATACACAGTGGTTAGGAAGGCTGTCATTATAATTTAATGTGAACAATGGTCCATCACTTCCTTTCCTATGCAACCCTTAACTAATTCCATGTACTGTGCACAAGTAAAATGAAACCTTTTCTAATCAGGGTACAGTCATATCAATCATCTATTACTCCACGATTAAAGAAGAGGTCCCTTCCCAGCTAAGCGGCAGAGAATAGAGTACTAGCAGAAGTTTCAGGCCCACATTTTCTTTCAGATGACAAGTCTCATTTTCTGATGGCTGTCTGTATAATGCAACTAATCAAAGAGTAAGCAGCCATCCAGAAAGTTCTGTATAGAATACTCTAGCAACCACTAAGTTGCAATTGAAAGCATGTCACCATGAACATCAAGTGAACTTTGGAGAATTCTGAACCTTTTGAATAAAGTGAGACAAAAACTAGTCACCCTCACAGCATTCCACGTATCTACTCTGCTGCCTGGGTTATCTCATTTCACCCGAGCTGTGAACGTCACAGGTATCTAAACAGCCAACCTCAACAGAACTGGTCTGGTCATCCCTGGGACTCAAAGTCACCACACAATTCTTAGGGACTCAGCCTGCATCGCATCCCTGCTCCATTCCCAATAAAATGAAGTCAGGAGAGTGAAGTGTAAATTACATGTCCCCAAACAGACAGAATGTCCTCTGAAAGGACTCTTACCTCCAACCATGTCCCACTTCTGCCTCCCCAGTTTGATAGTAAACAGAAACGTACTCTAATGTTTGCATGAAAGGACACTTTAGTATTAGTCTTTGCCACTTATCCCACAATAGACTGCATTAGGAATTCAGACTATGTCAGCTTCACACATATACCTCGATAACTGTCCCCCGCTATGTGAACAGCAAATGGTAACCAAGGTTGTGGGGGAAAGAGCATGGCACCTGGAATCACAAGACTTGTGATGAATACAGGTTATGCCAGGAATTGGCTATGTGATCCGAAGGCTGTCGTTCCTCTGTCTCCTCATCTGTAAAGTGAGTGGAAAAAGAACCCACATCATAGGGCTGTTATTAAATTAACCCCATTACCTTAAGACTAAACTAGATAGACATGTGAAATAAGCCTTGTAAATCAGAAAACACTGCACAAAACTGAAATGTGTTTGTACTTATAGCACTGTGCAAAGTCACCAAGGAACTCTCAAAGCCAAGGAGGAAAAGGATAAAGCAATAATTCTCAAACTTTGGTGCATGTGAAATTCATCTCAGAACTTGTAGCAAAGTACACATACGTGCTTATTTCCCAGGTGATTGTGATTTGAACTATACGCTGAGAGACAGTGGGATGAGGGGTTAGCTGAAAGCGGTTTCCTATTCATTTATCAGGTATTTCAAGCACTAGGAAGCCTTAGAGGATACAAATAATGACAAGATACAGCCCAATGTCAAGCAACATAAGCTCTACATGTAGAAAAAAAGACGAACATCAAGAAATAGATAAAATGTAAGGCTCTGTGTGTTGAAGCAGAAAAGGCAGCCCGTAAGTAAGACCTGTTTGAGTTTCTCCCCGAAGAGAATAAATCTGTATTCTCTGGAAGGAAATTCTGGTTCCTTCTGACACCTCAAGTACATGCTATTAGCACCCTGTGTTCCCTTTTGCAGGAGCCTCGCTCCTGGGACCTGAGAGTCATCGTGAGTCATGGAGTCTCAGCCAGGAACCACTGAGACTGTGTGGGCCGCAAGCCCTCTCCTGGAAACCCAGGCCTCACCGTGCAGTGGCATCTCTTGCTCAAAGGGTTCATCTCAGAGATGGAACAAAGAACCCTTTTCATTCTGGAGAGCTCCTGTTTTATGTGGTAGAGGCAAAGATGGAACAAACCCACCAGAGGCATGGGCAGCCACGGTGACTAGGATATGAGACTTCCCCTCTGAAGGTTGCACTTTGAATCTCCTCCCTAAGGCCAGTCCCGGAGAGAGAATTTGGATACAGCAAAGCAGTGGCTTCAAAGTCACAGTAACTTTCTACATGCCTGGGAGGGGATGGAGAATGTCACCTTCCTTTTTTCTGATACTCCCATAGACACTTTGTACAGGTGGGGAGAATACAGAGAAAAGAGACCTGGTCCAGGAGTCAAGAGGCCAGGGTTACTGTTCTGCCCCTACCAGTAATGAGCTAGGCAGCCATCGCTCTCTCTTTGGGCACATCCTTTTCCAAAGAGAAAAAATCAGGATACTGACATCTGCACTAGCTACCTCACAGTGTAGAGGTGCAGGCTAGGTGAAAAACTTCCTTGAAAAGTGAAGCATCTCACTGAAATGTAAGAAATTAATATTAAAGCCCCAAAGTAAAAATTTCAACCCTCTGAATTATCCAGTTTGACTACGCACATTGTCCCCCAGCGCACTGAAGTTCTCTGCTGCTGTGTTTGCTCTGAAGGCAGAGCCAGGTCCTCTGACGTGTCACCACCACCCACCCCTTTGCAGACAGGGGCCCGCCAGGTCTGACCGAAGCCGCTGCCTCCCGCGGCTGGCGGGCGCCCACCCTCCGCACGCCCGCCCGCAGCAGCCGCAGCTGCTCCTGCCCCGCGCACGGCTCGCCCTCCCCGGCCCCCACCTGACTGCGCAGACCCGGAAGTGCCCACGACCATCTGACCCGGTCACATTCATGTGACACCTTTGTTCAGAGCAAAAGTCACTTGAGAGGGGAAAAAAATACCTCAACCAGGAAATAAATCTTTTACTGCTATTTCATCCGCCCCTCACGTGGTGCTGGAATATCGCTTAAAAGAACATTCTTGTTGCCTTTCCAGTTCTTTTCCTTTAGGTCTGCAAACAGGAGTAACCCGTCCTAGGGGAAACGACTCCCCAGCAGAGCAGTTCTTCAAAGGGGACTTCTTCAGGCAGGAAAAGGGAATGTCTGATACTGTGGCTGAATAAACAGACTCATCAAGCCACATGCCAGATTGGAAAACCAGGCCCTGTGCGCCTGCAGCCGGCCAGGGACGCTCCTCAGGCGCGCTCTCCCTCCTGCTGCCTCCTCTCTGTCCTTCTGTCTCTCGCTCTCTGCCTCTTCCATTCAGCCCCCTTCTTCACCAGATGCCTTAATGGTCCTGGGTATATATATATATATATAACTATGGTTTTTTATTATTACTAATTGACTGAGCTCATTGGCTCTGCAGTTTCAAAGCCCGTTTTGGAATCTCAAACTGTTGCATCATCTCTGTTCATGCGGTTCACTTTCTCAACATTCACCATCCCAGTCTCCAACCTTCCTTGGAAAGCAGCTCCTTTTAAAGGCAGAACCAACGATTCACACACTCAATGTTGTAAGCCCTGCATGGGTGGCTGACAGAATCCTAGAGCCTGATGGAACCTCCAGAGGTCATTGTTTTCAGGAAAAAGTTTCAGAAATTTACAGACTTGGAAAGATAACTATCTATTCTGGACTTTGAAAGAGTCTAGAATCCACCAACCCATTTACAACTCAGTTCAATGTCTCAGGTCCTACAGAAGTACTTTCAAATATCTAAGCCAAATTTATACGATAATTAGTTTTTCCACTTGAATAGCTGATCATAAGTGAAATCCCAAACCATGGATCATAGCAGGGTTTAGGCTTAGAAATTGGCATTTGTCTTTTCCATAATGGAAAACTGTCTGTTTTTCTCTTTTTTTAAACAATTGTACCAGTAAATGTTATATTTATTCAGAAAATCTGGACAACTAACTAGTTTTAGTTATTACCTGTACCTCCATACATACTCACATGGACAGAGACAATTCTCTGTGAATTTCCCACAACACAACTATCAGTCCTATTAGGTTTTTTTTCAACCATCCAACAATTAGGCAGAGGGTCTCACTCTCATCATTTTGTTCTTGATGTCTAAGCTCTTTCTTAAATATTTCTTTGGGAAAACAATTCTTGGATCATAAACATACTTGTAAAAAGTTTGCCATAGTACCTAATTTTAAAAAATAAGAGGTCAGCTCTTCAATTTACTGAATTTCCATTCATAATTGGCTTCTCCTCAATTCATTATCACACTTCATGATGTCTTATAAAATGCCTCTTTACCTGCCTCTTAAGCTTTAAGTCCCAACAAAAACAATAACAGAAAGAGTCAAAATAAAGAGAAAGGTACCATGTACATCTGGTCAACAGAGATCTCCATAAAGACCCAAAGCATTGTTCATTTTTCTTCTCCAATGATAAGCTCTTAGTCTCAAACATTCAGTCACATCCCACTTTCAATCAACGTTTATACACAGGAAGTTATCTTCCAAAGGACTAGTTGAATCCCACACTCTATGCTTGTCCATTCTGAATACTAGTTAGTAATTACTACGGAGAGATTGCAAGAACAGTCCAATCACCTTTTATGTCATTCATTAATCACCACTAACAACAGAAGTCCAGATTAGACATGAATCACTAAACTTATTTTAGTATTTGCCTAGAACTGCACTGTTGTCTACCTTTGGGAAAGAAAAAAAAATTCTAATTCAGCCACGCTGATGCTGTCTGACAAACAATACTGGGATATTTAGAAATTTCTCATCAACAAATAGATTTCTCAAATTATTTTTTGTATAGACACCACATTCAGTTGCCTGTCAAACTAAGAATAAAGGTCAGTGACTGTTTTAACCAGTGGGAGTCTAAAACCGCACCTCCTCTCCACTTGACATGCATAGGTCAGATTCTCCGTTATGCAATCACTGGTGCAAACATCCCCTTAGACATGCTGAAGGGACAAGGTGGGAGACGTTCACTTCAGTTACCTTTGCCCAGGCTTTATTTGTTCTGCAGATAATAAACTTTGGACTTCTTTACTCAACCGGTCATCTTGCACAAACAGTAAACTCCCTCAAAACTTTCTGTTCCGATGGGACCCTTGAGAAAACAAAATGAAAAAAAAAAGCATGATTAAAATCTACTTTCTTTGGTCAACATCCTAAAATTGAGCAATTTCTCGACATCTTAAAAGGGATTGTCCTGGCATCCGGTTGAGAGTCAGTAAACTCCTGATTGATCAAATAACTGAAATCATTAATAGCTATAGTCAGAATTCTTAGGTTGCAAACATTTGTTCTGTACCTATTTCCTATCCCTCTGTGTAGCATCCTGAAGACATTATCCACATTCACTCTTTGAAAGCAGTAGTTTCTCAATAGCTCCATCAATAAAGATATTTTGAGGCATATCCAATCTGTGTATTTTTACTTATAAATTACATACATACCATTGTATGGGTGCACTAAGAAAAAACACACCAAAAAAAATCTTTAAGATGAAACTCAAAATTATAATAAATAAAAATGACTTAATAAAATCTTTCTGCCTATCAGTGGATCATTTCGGATTCTCCATAGGGTATGAATATCCTACTTCTGAACGTGCTGCTTTAAGAATGCAGTGAATTACCGTTGTCCCAGACTCAACTGCCACCTTGCCCTAATCAAAACCTAGTTTCAAGAAAAGATCTACTATCAGTCATTATCATCTTATATGAATAAAGACCCAACATTATATGAATGCTTCAAGCAGGATTTGTATTTTAAGTATACATCTAATTATGAGAAGAAAGCTTTATTTCATGGTAAGCAGATATCAGGAATGTCAAAATAACTCATGATATTTGGAGGACAGAAAATGTTTCCTGGTGGCCTTGAAATCAGGCAAGCTGGAATGGCCTTTATCTAGTGCAGAGGCAATGGCAGTATCAAACTGCGCATATAAAAAGGTTTTAGGGACAGCAAACTGGGTAGAAGAGGGAAGAATAGGGATGACTTGTTGGCTAGAAGATTTTTCCTAAGGCCAACCCCAAGTTTCTACTTGAATTGTGTGTCCATCTAGGGAATCAGAGCATGGGAATATCCAGAAATGACAGAGGAAGAGCTGAAGTTCTCCACGCCACACCTCTGGCTCCTTTATGGCCAATGAAAACATATCTTGATACATTCCCATGAGGACAACAGAGAAATTCAAAGGTTCGGTGGCCCATACTGAGGGGTAAGACTTCTTAATTCAAGGGAAGAAAAAGATCACTTTTGCCCCAAATAGTCAATCACAAGTACTTGCATAGCTCAAGCACCTACGTTCATCATAATTTTACAAAAACAATTTTCCCAGAGGATATGATAAACAATCACCTAGATTATTTTCATCTTTGTGAATATGAAGCAGAGGTGCTTTAAAAATCTGAATAATCCATTAGACATATGTATTGATCCAATTCATTAGTAATTATGGAATAATCTACTTGACTTAATCTATGAAAACAAAAGGAAAGTGGAGCATGGAGCATGTTGATCAGCTGTTGAGACATGCCTCCTGTAATGTGTATATATACATATACTACACCTATAATATGTATACACATACCCCCACACACAAACATATGTGTATGTGGGTGGGTGTTGAGAAGCTCCTGCCATTCAGTTTATCTAGTTGGGCAAGTCAGGTGCCCATGAAAAGTTATGAACTTATGTATCTGTGAGCAGGCACAAAATAGCCACATAACACAAAACACATCAAGTAAGTATATACGGACTGAATAAGAGTAGGATATCATTCAAAGCTATGATGAATTTCCAGAGAAAATAGAGACTGGGATTTCAGATAGATAAATAAATTGGCTTGGAAATGGAAAGAATTTTAATTTAGCAACTTATTCCTAGGGGACACAAGATTCACTAGTGTAAGAAAAGTTTCCATATTGATGAAGTATGAGCTATGAAGTTCGAGTTAACGGATTAATAGAAGGGCCATGTTACATGATAATTAAGCCAAAATTTGGTTTTTCTTGAACCATCTGGGTAATCAAAGCAAAATATGTATTGTCGTTGCTGCTGTCTCACTTAAAATATCCCTACAATGTCCTTTCATGCTATGCAAGACAACAGAGATACACAGACATAACGTAAGAAAGCACAGTATAATATTAAGTTTGTGCCAGGGAACTTGACAAGTGTGCACAGAAATTTTGCCTACTCTTGGACCTTTTCAGGCTTTGACCTTTGTTTCTGAAATGTCAAGGGATCTCTTGTGTCATCACGAACCCCCTCCCGAACCCCTTATAAGCTGTTACCACTGAATGGACATAAATTCTGCCAAAAATGATAAGACCTGAGAACTGCTGAACACCACCAATTATTCTGCCAACATTCCTGTCCTGAAATCTCCTTTTACTTAACCAGCTAGATCACCTTCCTTTAATGACACAGAGAGAAGAAAACGAAGGCAATTAATCAATGACTTCTATCCAAAAGATAATTTCGGTGGGAGGAGGGGGTTGTGGACTGAAAAGATACTACCTGTCTAGTTTATCACGTATTTTCTGGGTCTCCTGTCTCGCTTTGTAATCATTGCAAGTTTCTCTACCTGTGCACTGCTCAAAAGGATGGGGGCTCATCAGGAACAAAATCTGACTTTCCGGTTTTATTCCCTAACACAGGACTAAAATGCTAGTTTCAGTTTCAATGCACAGCAGGAGAGCAACATGTTAAGCAACAGATGAATATCCCAGTTTTGCTCAGATTGTGTTTTAAAGAATGCATGGATAGATCACCTCATCAAGTTGATCATCAAGTTATGGATCAGATAATCACAAATCTCATTTAATTTGGCTATTGAAAAATCAAGATGATCAGACCACAAATTATCAAAATACCATTTTGCCAGTTCCATAACCAAATACATTTGGTATTGAGATTTATTGTTGAACAGTGGATTGTAGAAACTGTCAAGTCAAACTAAAATTAATTAAGCTAGATTTTAATCTGCACTAGGGCAGAACTATGCTTGTTTTGTTCAATACTTTTCCCCAGCATCTGTCATCAGGTCTGTCACATCGTAGGTAACTGTGGTAGCTTGACATTAAGATGACCACCATCAATTCTTTCCTTGAATGCACAAGCTACTCCCTTATTGTGAGGTGTAATTTATTATTGTGAGCTGGAATCTGGGCTGGCTGGTGACTGCTTTGACAAACAGAAGACAGACGTGATCTGCATGCCTTCTAAGGGTAGGCCTTAGAGACTTTGCAACTCCCACCTGGATTTTTTAGAACACTTGTGGTGGAGGAAACTGGTCCCAATGTAAGAAGGCTGACTGCCAAGAGATCAATAAGCTCTGAGGAAGGCCAAGTTAACCACATGGAGATAAGGAGATTCCTGACTAGCCCAATCCAGACATATGAGTAAAGAAACCTGTAGATGACTCCAGCCTCAGCTGCCATCTCACTGCAACCATACGATCATACCAAGAACTGCCCAGCTGAGCCCATCAACCTCAAGAACCAAGAATGATAATAGTAAATTGTTGGATAGTCACTAGGCTTTGCAGTAGTTTATTACACAGCAATAGCTACATGGAACAGTGTTCATTGTTTATTGAATAAGTAAATTAATTGATAAAAGGAGCCGTTGTTCCCAAATGAACCCAATGAAATTCATTAAATAAATTATTAAGGTGATATCAACAACTGTAAAGACTATCAGAAAACTGGACAACTCTGAATAATTAAGGCCAAGAGGAAATCTGCTACAGAGTAGAGAAAGTAATTTTTTGAGGGTGGAATTTTCCAGATTCACTAACCATCTTGACTGTATTCATTAGATGATTACTCACTGCACTACTTCCCTTTATACAAAGTAAAGTCATGATTGCGTTTCAGCCATTATTCTAGGTGCAAAGTAAGAGAAAATACATTAACTAAGAAGGCACATGGGTAACCAAGGGAAATGGACTTTGTGGGGCCTGATTTTTCTATGAAGATTCTAATTCCTCTCTATTCTTTTAATTTTGTGAAATAGACTTTGGTCCAGGTGCACTGTGTAAAACAACTAAATATAGACAGAGATCAGGTTGGGTGGGAATGGAAAGAGAGGCTAAATGCTGGGCACCGGCAGCTGTTACATCACCACATCCCCATAATTGTGCTATTTTGCACACGGCACTCTTCATCTGGCTACAGTCACCACTTTATGATATAAAGATTAATTAATGACATGATTCCTATCTCTCATTTCTTTGATGGTTGTAAATAAGTCTGAGTCATTCTACGATTGTTTTCACCATAGGCACTGTAGTTTTACCCTTTTCTTCTTTTGATGAGGAAAATAAATATAAGAGGATGTCTCTAATCTGCTACAGCATTTTAACTTTGTGACTTTTCAGATGAAATCACAGCTGGGTATGGCCCTCCTTTTCCTGAATATCATCATCTTATGGATGAATAGGTCTTTCCTAACACCCAAGCCCTCCCCACCTCCCTGTCACTTAGGGAATACTCCCTATCCTGCCCCAGTGTGAACTCATAAACCCCAAATTCCCAAAGAGATCTCAACTCTGCCAGAGCACAAAGGTCATGCTCAGAACCAAATGGATAACATATAAGAAATACTTTCACTAATTCTACAAAGCCAACTTAATAATGTAGTTTCAAACAAAAATATATGTATATATGACTGACAGTCTTCATGGACACAGTATACCAGACTACTGTCGACCCTTCCTCCTCCTGTCTGTGCAGACCAGACCCAGAGCTCAAGCTTACGGTCACTCACTGAGCAGGCAGCTTTTCTTGGTTACTCTGGGCAGGCTAGGAAAGAAAATGGCTTAAGCTGGGGCAGAAACTAGGACAGTCATTAAAGGAGATGGTTCGATTCCATGGGCAGGAGACCTTGAAACCTAACTTAAAACACATAGAGACAAGTTTCTTACTTGCTATTGATTCTGTTGTTCTCCCACCCAGATCAATTCCGAACAATTTTTTGTCTGGTACTGTCTGGCACTGGGGGATAGAGAATTGATTAAAATCTGCCCTTAAGAAGCTCTGAAGAGAAAATGGTTCATGGAAGGATGACCACATGGTTTCCTATGAGAAGGAC